GGTGGCTCAGACTGACACAGGATGTAGAGGAAACTTTTAAATATGCTTGGATCTAGCAAAGGGGGTGCCATAAACAAACTTTAGAGCCAGCTTTCAAATGAAATAGGATAGCATAAAACAATTTTAATGTTATTTACACCAGAAAAGACATCCAAACTCCTGCCAACTTGAATCCAGTGACTAGAGAGCTCAAAGATAAATTCTGAACCGTGGTCATACATGCAGTCATGTGGTCACTGGCAGATAGCTCACAAAAACAGCAAAAATGTCTGTCTGAGCTCCATGCTTGCAACAAAACTTATGAACACACCAGAAAACACAGACAAAACTTTCCAACAAAACAGGGAGACACAACTTTCAAGAGAAACAAGAAGACAAAACTTTCCAGCAAGACAAATAAAACTTTCCCTAAGAAATAAAACTTACCAACCAGAACCAGATAGGTAGACAACATCACACTATATGCTCTGGATGGGAGGGTACTGGTGTCCTATTGAATCCCTCCTCATATTCCAGATAGGGATCCCACAAAACAGAACCAGACTATGACTCACCGGAAGGCCTACATAGATTCTTCCTGCATTCTTCAGCATGGCAGTTCACTCTAATAGTCTGTGAACTGAAGGTAGCTTTGGAGCCTTGGAATATCTCAAGTCACATGCCTCCTGAAGTGGCCCTTCAACCCCAGAGAACCAGAGTGAAGGTCCAGTTTTAGAATTTAGATGAGTTGTCTGAATCTCGCTGGGGCCTCCAGAAAATGTTAATCCTACTGATTGAGAATAAGACCACTACCACAGTTTAAAGCTAATTTTGAAGCAAGTTCTAATTAAATACTGGCCAGGTGGATGGATTTTGTCCAGGTCTATACCCAGGTTTCCGGAAATGGTCCAGAATCAAGTATGGCAAAGGTTTAAGAAGGAAAGCTCATAATTCATTGCATTTCCTATCAAGGGCAAACATATATCCGCATATTTCCTGTCTGTGTACCTCCTGCCCACATGTGATCAAGCATATCCAGTGCATATGGGCCAAACAAACTTGTTTAGAGGAGTGAAAAACATATGGCTTTTTATCTCCCATAAACAACAGCTCCCGCCGGGCTGTGGTGGCGCACGCCTTTCCTCCCAGCACTCGGGAGGCAGAGGCAGGCGGATCTCTGTGAGTTCGAGACCATCCTGGTCTACAAGAGCTAGTACCAGGACAGCCGCCAAAGCCACAGAGAAACCCTGTCTCAAAAAAACAAAAAACAAAAATAGCTCCCAGCATTTCAGGAACTGTCTGTCCTTGGGAAAAGGGCTTACAGATCAGAGGCATTTTTATTTCATAGATCTCTAAGGCATAGTAATTAAAAGTTAAAATGTTACTTTGGCTCTCACAGTACCATCATGCCCAGCTCATGCTAAGCCTCTTATGTTAACAGATTAATTTGTACTTTCCCTTGGTGGTAGTGGGTGTTCATGCGTGGACAACAACAGATGGTAGGTCTCCAAAAGCCCAGAAGCATCCACTGCTGCTCCTGGTGTAGGTGTTACAGCTCTGAAGGGAAAGGTATCCCAGGAGTCAGGAGCCAAGGAATCCCAGAGTCACACTTCACAACAAACCTCATGCAAGAGATTTATTGGGAGAGGTGCAGGAGGGTGACTGCCTCTGCTTGGGTGAGAACCATCAGGGAACTGAGCAGAAGGAAGGCTTATATAAGGTTTCTTAGGGACAGAGTTTTCCAGGGTAGAGATTTCCAGGGTGGGGATAGGTGGGATTTCAAGGGGGGAATTGATTGGGGAAGTCCTGTGTATATGTAAATAAAGCACTGTTGGCCAATAGGGAAGCAAGATGGGTGGGACTGGAGTCCAGGAGGATTCTGGGAAGTGTAGTGAAGAGAGTTGTTGAGATGTGATCCCTGGAGGAGAGGATGCAAGTCTGGCGTTCTCGGAAAGATAAGTCTTTATAAAAACATATATTGGTGATTATGGGTCAATAATTAAGTCAGAGCTAGCCAATGAGAAACAATAGCAAATTGCCAACAGCTTCATAATTAATATAGACTCCTGTGTGTTCATTTGGGACTGATGCGACTCGGGAACCAGGCTGGTGGGAAGACTTCACATTACAGGGAATTAGTGGGATTTCAACTTCAATGATTTGTGGGTTTTTGAGTTCAGCAGTTGCTGGGGTTAGGTGAGTTTTGAACCCTGGAAGCAGACTCCATTCTTTTAACAAACACCAGGACCTCATGATCCAACCCTTACTTCCCACATGGAGCCCTGTACTCACCACAGCACCCCTCTGATTTGCTGAACTTAGCTTTCTGAACATTCTCGAAGCCCTTCCTTCCCTTTCCTACAAGTAAAGCCCTCTTGGCTGGGTGTGGTGGCACACTTCTGTAATTCCCACTCTTGGGAGGTAGGGACAGGGTAGTTGCAAGGTCAGGCCATCCTAGGATACACATCGAGTCCCTATCTCAAGAACAAAATAATGAGCCTCACCCTCAATGGTGCAAACCTGTTCCGCTTCCCTTGAGATTTGGCCCTCCCCTGGGAGGAGGTGGTCATGTGGGTCTGGTCCTAGGGCCAAGGTCTGTCTGTGCTCAGGCAACCCGGAACCCACAAGCTTTAACTGTGGACGCACGGAACAAGATTCACGGGACTAGGATCAACATAGGTTAATATAATTTTATTCGGGGAGAAGGCACTTACACAGGAAACAGATGACCTCGGCAAGTTCCCGCTCCAAGGATCCACCCAGGCTGCTCTCTGCGACCTGACCGGAACCAAGAGAGAGAGAGCACATGTCCCCACCCAGACCTAATCCAACTGTGGGTCATGTTCACACTAGAGGTTCGGGGTGTGTGCGTGTGTGTGTGTGTGTGTGTGTGTGTGTGTGTGTGTGTGTGTGTGTGTGTCTCACTACATTTAACTTCGGTCATTTCCACTGTGTGGCTCAGTCTTGCTTTTGTGATGGCTAACTTTACATTTAAAAGTTTTACATCTCTGTGCTTAAGAGAACTAGAAGCAATATTAGACCTCCAAATGTTAAGGGTAATAAGGGTTAAATTTTGTTTTACTACTGTTTCTGCAGAGCTCTGTTAACAAGCTTGTATTACATTAGAGGACCTTCTGCCTGCACAGAACAAATGATAACTTGCTATTCTTTATTTTTGTTTTTGTTTTTTTTTAGGCAGGGTTTCTCTGCAGCTTTGAAGCCTGTTCTGGAACAGCTAGTCTCTTGTAGACCAGGCTAGTCTCGAACTCACAGAGATCCACCTGCCTCTGCCTCCCAAGTGCTGGGATTAAAGGTGTGTGCCACCCCAGTCTGGCTGTAACTTGGTATTCTTTACCTTTATAAGCCCCTGACTGAGGAGGCTGGGCACAGCACTCAGGAATCCTGAGTGAGGTTTACACCTGGTGACTGTATCTGAATAAATGTCTCTTCTCTGTTAAAATGTATTAAGGGTCAGACTTGTGAGTCTCTGAATGACCCCAGACGCATAACCCTTTTATTGTGGTCCTGGAGGCAGTCACCTCAAGAAGTTCCTTTTGAAACCAAGAGTTGAATAAGTGCCCAGTTCCTCCGACAACAACAACCTTCCTCTCTTGGGGGTTGTGGGGGGGGGGCAGGATCAGGAACCTATTATCTTCTCCCTTCATTGTCTATGAAGTGAAATCACCTACGAGGATTTTCTGTCCTTCCTCCCTGTTTGCTTGGCTTTTCCTTCTCAGACTGCTCCAATCCGTGATGCATGCCCTGAGGGGGGCAGGGCCTAGTGATACATGTCTTTAACCCTGGCATTCAGGAGGCAGAGGCAAGCCTCCTTCTGAGTTGTGGTCTAGAGATGCCCTATCTGATTGGATCTTGAACTGACAATAGAGCTGGTCAAAGCGGGGAGGGAAGGAGGGAGGGAGGGATCCTATTCAACAGAGTGAATGCTGGGTAGAAAAAAGCCACAGTGGCCTGGAGTTGGTGGCACATGCCTTTAATCCCAGCACTCGGGATACAGAGGCAGGCGGATCTCTCTGAGTTCGAGGCCAGCCTGGACTACAGAGCAAGTTCCAGGACAGCCTCCAAAACCATACAGAGAAACCCTGTCTCGAAACAACAACAACAACAAAAAGAACAAAAAACCAAACAAACAAACAGAAAAGGCCACAGTGCCCTCCTCCCCATCCTCCTCCCTGTGCTGCAGCTGGGGATGAGTCCAATTCTGACCTGAACTTGATCTCCATTCTCCTGTACTTCTGCCCACTCCCAAGTAAACTGTGACTGAGTTTGTAAAATAATTTCTTAAGGTTCAGGGAATTGGGCCCAGAGCCTTCTGCATGCTGGGTCACATCCTCAGGCCTTTTGTAAGCGGATTTTGCCAATGTAGTTGAGCATTGTGGCACATGGTATGAGGGAGGCTGAGGCAGGGGGATCACAAATTTAAGAGCAACCTGGAAAACAGTGTCTCAAAAGGAAAAGAATTTTTAAATCATGAAAGTATGTACATATACATTTCTTCTGAGACAGGCTCTGTTGACATCATGAAAGTATGTACATACATATTTCTTCTGAGACAGGCTCTGTCTACATAGTCCTGACTGCCTTAGAACTGACTATGTAGACTAGGCTGGCCTCAGATTTACAGAGACCCACCTGGCTCTGCTTCCTTGGCCTAAAGGCGTTTGCTACCATGCCTGGCTCTGCAAGAGCATCCTTGATGGGCCTGGCCTAATCAGATGAGTCCTGATAAGGGACCAGAATGTTCCTGGCAAAGCAGTTACAAAGTGTGAAGTAAGTCAACACAAGGGTATTCTCTGATACTGACTCTATTTTTTTTATTTATTTTTTGGTTTTTCAAGACAGAGTTTCTCTGTGGCTTTGTAGGCTGTCCAGGAACTAGCTCTTGTAGACCAGGCTGGTCTTGAACTCGAAGAGATCTGCCTGCCTCTGCCTCCCAAGTGCTGGGATTAAAGCATGCACTACCAACACCTGGCTATTTTTATTTTTAAGTTAATTTGTTTATCTTATGTACCGTGTTTTGCCTGCATGTATGCCTCTATGCCATGTGCATGCCTGATACCTGCAGGGGCCGGGAGAGGGAGGCAGATCTCCCGGAATTGGAGTGATAGACAGCTCTTAGCTATCACGTAGGTGTGGGACTAGAACCTGGGTCCTGTGGAAGAGCAGCCAGTGCCCTTAACTGCTGAGTGTCTCCTCCAGCCCTGCCTCGGGCTTGAAAGTTAGAGGAAGCAGGTGGCCAGGAATGTAGGAATCACGTGTAGCCTGTGGTTGACGGCCAAGAAGGAAGCGGGGACGTCTGTCCTGCAGCCACGTGGAGGTGATCTCTGAGGGGATCCCCCTGCAGAGGAGAGCTCAGCCTGAGCCTCGGCTTCCGAAGCAACTCCAACCCCCCATTCCTCCCCACCCCACCCACGCTGCACCGCACTGCACCGTGTTTACCTGTGGGTCTGTGCAGCCGTGAACACAGACTTAGGGGCTGTCGTCGTTTTAGGGCGTGTGGTAATGGCAGAAGAAAACCAGCTTGCCTCCCGATAGACTAAGATTCTGCAGTAGCAGGCTTCTTCAGCCACCCTTACCTCAGACTCCACAGGACCTGGAGCACTTCCTAGTGAGATCAACGCTGGGCCTGCTGCTCAGGAGAGGGGAGGCCAGGGACCCTGCTCTCCACCGATCTACTCCCACCAGCCGCCTCCCGGGTCACAAGGATGCTACCTCACTGTCACTGTTCTCCTGGGGTTTCCATGAAGCCCGTGCCCCTCCGGCCCAGGAGGGAGTTGGACCAATCTTCACTTCCCGGCCTCAGCGAACCTTGCCCAGACCTATTGATCTGCACTTCCGGGCAGGCAGTGGGACCCGGGACCATGGACAGGCACGCCATGAGGGCTCTGCTGCTCCTGGGGTCTCTGCTGGCGAGCCTGGATTCGACGCTTTCGGTGAGGACTGTGGCGCTAGGACTGGACCGGGGTGGCACTAAGGGGTCCCTGTCCCAGCTTTGGCCTGCCTGTCACCTGCTAGTCCAGATGACTGGGAGACTTGCGTGGGGGAAGGTACAGCCAGCCCAGCAGGCCCAAACAAGGGAGACAGCAGCCCACACTGGTGTGGGTATGAGGACCCCGGCTACGTTTGTGGGGGGGAGACAATGGGAAGAGGGGGGGAGGGTCAAGCCCTGTGAGGAAAGAAATCCTGGGCTTTGGGGAGGTGGAAGGAGGCTGGGGCCTAGCATGGATCAAGGAAAATCTGATGCTCCTGCCTTCTCTCCCTCGCAGGCTCCTCCATGGAAAGGCCCCAAGGAATTCAAGCAGGGAGCTGAGGAGCCCACGGTGGGTAAGTGACTTGCTCTTCTTCCTAATCTAGCCTCTGGTGGGGGTGAGTGTGCTCGCTGGAGTCCATGTGGTCTCCATGCAGCCTCGGGCCTCTGGGTCCTGAGCACAGCAGATGACACCAGGCCTAAGAGCCTACAGCCTACAGACCTGGAGGGGGGGGGGGGCACGGGAGGAGGGGAGGGAAAGGGAGAGGGACCTGGAACTGACTTGTGAAGCAACCTTGTTTCTTATCTAAATTTAAACTGGAAAAAAAAAAAAAAAAAAAAAAAGAGCCTACAGACCCAGAGGATAGCAAGTCCTGTGCCCAGAGGCCAGTGTTCAAGGCAGCAGGGAGCTCTCACCGCCTTAGCTTCCCATCCCCCACTCCCCCTGCTTTCAACACATCTGGAGGTCTTGAGTCATAACGATGGAGCTCAGACCCTCAGTGGGTGATGGGAGCCACATCAGACTTGTTCATCATCACAAATACTCTCCAAACCTTGTTTTCTCACTTGGGAGTTTACTGTCTGCTTCACTTTCCCCGGCTGTAAAACTAGAGCCCCTCAGGGCTGAAGCCAAGGAGAAATGAGTTCCTGACCCTTGTAAAGAAAGCAGTTCACCCGGAGGCTGCCGTCTGCAAAATGCATTTACAACCTTAGCTGCTAGCCTAGGGCTGTAGCCCAACATGCACGCTCTTGGTTTGGTCTGCAGAAACAATTCTTAACTCTTAGTGCCCTCCTCTAGGTGAAGGGTATCCCACCCCCAATCCTGCCACTGGGCTTGTGAGCACAGAGCCCTACCATGGGAAGCTATGTCTGGTGAGGCCAAGCTAAGGTTTGAGGTGTGCTACGTCACAGAGAGGTCCAACACAGTGGGACCCTCCAGTCTTTCCCTAAGCCAAACAGCTTCTGTCCTTCCAACCTGACCCAACAGTGGTCCCCTGTTCTGAAGGTCTACGCCCTTTCCTTTTAATTGCCTTATTGCTCAATGCCACTAAAAACAAAACCACAGCAAATGTTTGTTGAGCACATCCTAGGTGCTGGGCTCAGCGTTCCCAGCATTGTCATTAAGTGTCACACCACTCCTCTGAAGTGGACAGTTCTTCTTTTTGAGATTATAATGTAATCACAAACCTTCCCCTTCCTCCCTCCAACCCTCCATATCTCCATACACTTACTTATGTCTTATGATTATATTCTGTATAGGTTCATGAATATCGAATTCTTTTTTTTTTTTGATTTTTCCAGACAGGGTTTCTCTATATTGTTTTGGAGGCTGTCCTGGAACTCCCTCTGTAGACCAGGTTGTCCTGGAACTCACAGAGATCCGGCTGCCTCTGCCTCCCGAGTGCTGGGATTAAAGGTGTGTGCCACCAATGCCCGGCGCCGTGAACATCGAATTCTATTAGGTTCCTATGGGCCTCTCTGGCTGTGACATTTTTATCAATTATTACATGCAACCTTGTTTCATATGCGATTCTGTTTAAAGACGTCTTATTCCGTGTGTATGTTGCTGAAGCCCTAATGCTGATGTCATGGCCAATAGCACTATTACTGCCTGCCTGGACAAGGCGACTCTGACACATTTTCTCTGTAAGGTACACAGCAGCGTCTTGTGTTCTTGTAGATGGGAGCCCTAGATAACACTTCAGCATAGGCACAGGCACGCGCTTTCAATCCTAGCACTCAGGAGGCAGAGGTAGAAGGAGCTCTCTGAGTTTGAGGCTAGCCTGGTCTACAGAGTGAGTTCCAGGACAGCCAGGGCTGCACAAAGAAACTCTGCCTCAAAAGACCAGAGAGAGAGAGAGAGAGAGAGAGAGAGAGAGGTGGTGTGTGTGTGTGTGTGTGTGTGTGTGTGTGTGGTGTGTGTGTAGGTCAGAGGGTAACATCGAGAGCTGGGCTCTTCCTTCAGCTGTTGACACGGGGGTCTCATTTCTGCTACTGTGCTGTGAGTTCTGGGCTCACTGGCTTTTGCGTTTCCAGGCCAATTCCCCGAATCTACCTCCCATCTCACTGTAGGGTACCAGGATTACAAGTCACTGCATCTGGCTGTTTATATAGGTTCTGGAGATGAACTGGGTGTGTTAGGCTTTCATAGCTAAGACTTTTACCCACTGAGCCATCTTCCAGGGCCCCTTGACCTCTTCATATTGATTTGAGACAGTTTCCCTAAATTGCCCAGACTGCTTTAAACTCACTCTTTTGAGCAACTCACAAGTCCAGGCAGACCTTGAACTTGCCATCCTTCTGCCTCAGCTCCTGAATAGTTGGAATCACAGTCCTGGCTGCTTGGGATTATTTCTAATGAAAGGGTCTCCCATGAGAAATGAAAGCGACTTGAGCAGATCTTTGTGAATTTGAGGCCAAGTCTGGTCTACGTAGTGAGCTCCTGGACAGTCAGAGCTATGGAGAGAGATCTGTCTCAAAAAAAAAAAAAGGAGGAAAGGAGGGAAGGAAGGAAGGAGAGAAGGAGGAAGGAGGGGGGAAGGAAGGAAGCCATACTGTAACAGTCCATGAGGCCCACACCTTTAATCCCAGGGCTTGGGAGGCAAAGGCAGGTGAATCTCTGTGTTCCAGGCCAGCCTAGTCTACAGATAAAGTTCCAGGATAGCCAGAACTACACAGAGAAACTCTGTCTCAAAAAACAAACAAACAAACAACAAACCAAAAGAAAGAAGGAAAGAAAGAAAGAAAACTACTGTGCTAAATGGATGTCAGAAAATACTTGTTTCCAATATAAGAAGCTGAAGGAGGGCAGAGCACTAACTTGCTGGACCTCAGCTGAGTGTGTGTGTGCCCATTTTTTTCTGATCCATACAATCCTATTAAGATCACGAAGACACTGTGAGTGTTTGGAAGTCTGTTTGGTTTTTGTTTTTCAAATCCTCTGCTGCTGACCTATTATACCCTTAACCTGAATCACAAATATTGGTTTAGGGATTAGTTACAAATAACTTTTACAAAGCAGGCAGATTTGTAAATGCAAAGCCAGTAGATTGATAGTCCTATTACTGTTGCCATTTCACCAATGAGCCAAAAAACAAAAAAAAAAAAAAAAAAAAAAAAACAAAGAACCACGGTCAAGTGGCCTAAATATTTATTAAGTGGCAACTTTGTGACAAGCACTTGGTTTGTTTCAGACTTGACTGAGGTCACAGAGCTTGTAAGTGTTGGCATCAGAAATCTATTCCAGCTGTCTGTCTCTGGAAGACAACTCCCTAAGCAGTATGTAGTCTTGAATGCAGGACTCTCCTGTCTCCAAGCAGGCCCCATGGGGCAGAGCTTGGGCAGCAGGGCACAGGGCCTCAGAGGTGTGTTACCCTACAGTTCTCACGGTCGATGGGAAGCTCTGCCACTTCCCCTTCCAGTACCACCGTCGTCTGTACCACAAATGCATCCACAAAGGCTGGCCAGGCTCCCGGCCCTGGTAAGAATTTCCAAAAGGGTGGAGGAGGGGCCTAGATAAAATGGATTCTACCTGTCATCATCTGATTAAGAATTGTGTTTGGGCAAAAGGCTGTGCTGTGTGTGTGTGTGTGTGTGTGTGTGAGAGAGAGAGAGAGAGAGAGAGAGAGAGAGAGAGAGAGAGAGAGAGAGAGAGAGCTCCTGTGTGGTAAGGAGGGCTAGCCAGGCTTCAGGCGATGCAGGGAAGCCTCATTTGTCTCCACAGGTGTGCTGTCACCGCCAACTTTGACCAGGACCAGCAGTGGGGGTACTGCTCCGAGCCCAAGAAAGTGAAAGGTACTGCAAGCCTCCTTGGCCAGGGCTGCCTCCTGCTCTTTCCCCTGTTCCCACCCACCCGCTAGGCGTCATCGGATCCCACACGTGGGATCCTGGGCCCAGCCCCGCCCCTTCCCCTACAGCATCCCTTCAAAGGTCAGAGGAAGAATTCTGGGGAAAGAGATCACCGTTTGACAGACAATCTCAAGGACTGGAAACTTGGGGTCCAGGTGGGGTGCTGGTCCCTTCCTGTGCCACTCAGACTCCCTGTGCTTCCCCTCTGGTGTCTATCTGTCAGACCACTGCAGCAAACACAACCCGTGCCACAGAGGGGGGACATGTGTGAACACCCCCAGCGGCCCACACTGCCTCTGCCCAGAACACCTCACTGGGAAGCACTGTCAGAGAGGTAAGGGCAGCTGCCTGCCATCGACAGTCCCTGAGACCCTGGGAGATTGGCACGGTCCCACGGGCCTCCTTTTGTCCCCAGAGAAGTGCTTCGAGCCTCAGCTTCTCCGGTTCTTCCTCGAGAATGAGATGTGGTTTAGAACTGGGCCAGCAGGTGTGACCCGGTGCCAGTGCAAGACCCCTGGTGCTCACTGCAAGCCACTGACCAGCCAGGGTAAGGGGGTGTGTGGCGACCGTGGGGAGGAGGGCAAAAGTCAGAGGTCCCTGGCAGGGGCTGGGTGGCACGGTCCACCCGGGGATGGTTCAGCTTGCACCTTCCCCCAGCTTGCAGCTCCAATATGTGCCTCAATGGGGGCAGCTGCCACCAGGTGGAGGGCCACCAACTGTGCCATTGCCCTGCGGGCTACACCGGACCTTACTGCAACTTAGGTGAGCGGGGCCCCATGTGGAAAAAAGCTTGGGGAGGTGGAATGGAAAAGTGAACCAGAGGGCACCAACAGAACCATCCCCTGATGGCAGGGAGTCCCTTCTCTCCCTAGACATTAAGGCGACCTGCTACGATGGCAGGGGACTCAGCTATCGCGGCAAGGCTGGAATCACTTTATCGGGGGCGCCATGTCAGCAGTGGGCCTCCGAGGCCACCTACCGGAACATGGCTGAGAAACAAGCGCTAAGCTGGGGCCTGGGCCACCATGCATTCTGCCGGTTCGCGAGGGGGAAGGGGTTGGGCAGGCCAATTTACTGTCCCTTAGGGCCCTCAGGGGCTCCCCTTGCTCTAACAGTGCTCCCTCTTGAGATTTTTAGGAACCCGGATAATGACACGCGTCCATGGTGCTACGTGTGGAGTGGCGACAGGCTGAGCTGGGACTATTGCGACCTAGAGCAGTGCCAGACCCCAACCCAGGCAACGCTAACGTCTCGAGCCCCCCATGGGCGTCAGGACCTGCCGGTGCCCCGGCCTTCCACGCTGCAGAAGCCTCAGCCCACGTCCCAGGCGCTAGGTGGTTAGGTGGAGGGGGGGCCCCAGAACAGAGGACGTGGGTCTTGCTTATTCCAGGCAGCCCGTCGAGGATGTCCCAGGCCTCAGCCAATCCTCTCCTTCCACAGCCTCGCCTGAGCATCACACTCCTCTGGCCAGGACCAGCCCGGTGGGCTGCGGACAGCGCTTCCGCAAGCGACTGTCCCCACTCAGCCGCGTGGTGGGCGGACTAGTGGCTCTGCCCGGATCGCACCCATACATCGCTGCGCTGTACTGGGGCGACAACTTCTGCGCCGGCAGCCTCATCGCCTCCTGCTGGGTGCTGACCGCAGCTCACTGCCTGCAGAACCGGCAAGCGCCGCCCTCGGGGACCCCTAGGCTGCTCTACCGTACCTGCACCCTACTCTCTCCTCCCCCCAGCCTTTCTCGAGCTCCCCCAGGGAGGTTGAAAACAGGGGCTTCCCCAGAACGTCTGTAGCCGGCCTGAGCACGCTGTCTCCCCCCTCCACCCCTCCACCGCAGGCCAGCGCCGGAGGAGCTGACGGTGGTGCTCGGTCAAGATCGCCATAACCAGAGCTGCGAGCAATGCCAGACGCTGGCTGTGCGCTCCTACCGCCTTCACGAGGGCTACTCCTCCATCACTTACCAGCACGACTTGGGTGGGGTGACCCCGCAGGGACAGAAAGAAAGGATGGGGGAGGGCTGGGGCCGCACCCAGGCTGCCTCCTAACCCTTCCCTCTGGTGGTAGCTCTGCTGCGCCTGCAGGAAGGCGAAAACAGCAACTGCGCCATCACGTCGCCTCACGTCCAGCCCGTGTGCTTGCCCAGCGGTGCCGCCCCACCCTCGGAGACTGTGCTCTGCGAGGTGGCCGGCTGGGGTCACCAGTTCGAGGGTAGGCACCACTGCTGGGAGCTGGCTAGCGACTTTTGGCTACCTGAGTGCGCACTTTTGGTAGCCTCCAATGAGCCCGGGGAACACGTTTCATTGACAGTTTTGTAAAAACGTGCAGGACCCTTGTCTGTGGCACATTTCCAGAATCTAGAATTCGTTGTCGAGGTTTCCAAATCCCTTCGGGTTTATCCTAGTTCGCTTTCTGTTGTGGCGTTAAACACGATGGATGACCAAAAGCAGCTTAGGCAGGGAAAGGCTTTGCTGCTTACAAGGTTGCAGTCCACCATGGGTGGGGGTGGGGGCAGGAACTGGGGTAGAGAGAGCCGGAAAGAACTGTCCTTGCTGCCTTGCTCTCCGCGGCTTGCTCAGTTTTCTTTTTTGTTGTTTGTTTTGTTTTTCGGGACAGGGCTTCTTTGTGTAGCTCTGGCTGTCCTGGAACTAGCTTTATAGACCAGGCTGGCCTCGAACTCCCAGAGATCCACCTGCCTCTACCTCCCGACTCCTGGGATTAAAGGCATGCACCACCGCCCAGCTCATCTTGCTTTTTTAACACAACCCAGACCACCTGTTCAGGGGTGTCACCGCCCACTATGGGCTGGGCCCTCTCGCATAGTCATTAGTCAAGAAATTTCCTTATGCCAATCTGAAGGAGGAGGCATCTTCTCAACTGAGGGTCCCAGATAGCAAGCTGAACAAAAAGTGACCCAGCACAGGATTACAGGATTACAAAAAGAATCGAACTTTCTCTGGGTTCTCTCTGGGCTCCAAGTTACAAAGGCTTAACTAGGACTTTGTCCCCATGCTGGAGCAATGGGGACAACTATTTTGGGAGCTAGGTTCTAAGACATTGCGTGGGAGAGGGTAAGAGGTGCTTTCCTGTTTATTCTAATCCCAGCGTCTCTCTGGGCCTCAGTCTTCTTGCCTGTGAAATCGTTATGGGCTGGCTCCTAACACTCAGGCTTGCTCCGAGGGAGCCAACTCAGGGTAGGTGTGCAACTGCCCGGTAGCCTGGTCCACACAGCAAGCTCAGGTCCCTGGATTTGCAGGGGCGGAGGAATACGCCAACTTCCTGCAGGAGGCGCAGGTTCCCTTCATCTCCCGGGAGCGATGCTCCAACCCTGCGGTGCACGGCGACTCCATCCTGCCTGGAATGCTCTGCGCTGGCTTCCTGGAGGGAGGCACCGACGCCTGCCAGGTCAGCCCTGGGGTCCCGGTTGGTGCTTTGCCCCTTCCTGTCAACCACAGGACAAGAGCAACGAGCGGTTTCTCGTCTCTCCCCCCAGGGTGACTCTGGGGGTCCTCTGGTGTGTGAAGAAGGGGCTGAAGAGCACCGGCTCACCCTGCGAGGTGTCATCAGCTGGGGCTCCGGCTGTGGTGACCGCAACAAGCCCGGAGTCTACACTGACGTAGCCAATTACCTGGCTTGGATCCAGGAGCATACTGCTTCATAACTAATCAGGGTTAGTCTTTCCCTCAGTGTGCTCCCTGGAGTGTGAGCGTGACTGTGTCAAGATGCACAGTGAAGACAGTACCCAGGGATCGGGGCCCAGAAACTCAATAAAGTGCTTTGAAAATGTTCGTTCCTCAGAATTCCCTCTTGAAATGCCAAGTGAGAAAAAAGGTGCACTAACTCCCTCACTGCCTGGACAAGGCAGCTGGCCACATCTCAGATCTCTCTCTCTCTCTCTCTCTCTCTCTCTCTCTCTCTCTCTCTCTCTCTCTCTCTCTCTCTCTCTCTCTCTCTCTCTCTCTCTCTCTCTCTCTCTCTTTTGGTTCTTTTCGAGACAGGGTTTCTCTGTATTGTTTTGGAGCCTGTCCTGGAACTAGCTCTTGTAGACCAGGCTTGGTCTCGAACTCACAGAGATCCACCTGCCTCTGCCTCCCGAGTGCTGGGATTAAAGGCATGCGCCACCAACGCCCGGCTTACATCTCAGATCTCTTATTCAGGCCACTATATTTTCTTTTAAAGATTTATTTATTTATTGTGTATAGTATCCTGTCTGCATGTATGCTTGTGGGCCAGAAGGGGGCGCCAGATCTCATCACAGATGGTTGCCACCATATTTTCTTGGCCTCACTTTGTGTCAATCCCTGTCAAGGTGGCCCTTGCAGATTGGTTCCCAGAACTCACAGTAACAGGGTCTCAACCTGGACTATATACTTCTGGGTCCCCTGGGGGAGATTTTGGAACCAGCTCTCAAGTCTACCTGACAGCAATTAACTGGAATCCCTAGGGAGAAGGCAGTAGTGGTACATTTTTCAAAATCTTCATGTGATTTCATATGCAGTGAAAGTTGAAAACCATAGTTAGGACTGTTCCAGATTGGACTTGGGGTGTGGGCAGTGGTAGCTGAGCCTGTGAGGACCAGGGTTAGATTCGAGTACCACCATTAAGAAAGGGTGTTTGGGGGTTTGTTTGTTTTGTGTTTTGAACTTTGAGCCTGGCATGGAAGCTAGTGAACGTCTGCAGCTACATTCCATGCCATTAAAGTGAACGCTGGGGTGGGAGCCAGCAATCGTAAGTCTTCTAGGACACTGTGACTCTTTAGATGGTTTCCTTACAAGAGAGGTCTGGCTGTGTGGACTAGCACCTTTCTTGCTCTGAAATGCCATTTGTTTATTTATTTATTAAGACACTTGTCTTCCCAATTGCGGAGATTGCAGGCTTGCAATCACAGCAGGTTTATGTGGTGCTGGGGGATAGCCCCCAGACTTTGTGTCAGGTACTTGGTCAATTTCACTCAAATGATTGAGCTACACACGTCTTTTTTTAAAATATTTTATTTATTTATTATGTATACAATCTTCAGCATGCCAGTAGAGGGCACCAGATCTCATTCAAGGTGGTTTTGAGCCACCATGTGGTTGCTGGGAATTGAACTCAGGACCTCTGGAAGAACAGTCAGTGCTCTTAACCACTGAGCCATCTCTCCAGCCCCATCTTTTTTTTTTTTAATGTGGGAGCTGTTCCCACTCTCTCTTTTTTGGATACAGTATGGTACCATGTAGCTCTTGGCTGGCCTGGGATTTGCTATGTAGAAGAGGCTAGCCTTGAACTTACAGAGATCCACTTGCCTCTGCCTCCTGAGTGTGTTGCGATGTCTGACTTTTTAAAATTAAGAACATTTTTGTGGTTTGTGTGCGTACAATGTGTTTGTGTGGGTGAGTGTGTCAGTGCTGTGTGGGAGTCAGGGGATAACTTTGTGGAGTCGATTTCTCCTTCTGCCTTTATGTAGGCTCCAGGGGTGAAACTCAGGCTACCAGGCTTACAGGGCAAAGCACCCCTTACCTCCTGAGCCATTTTAAATAATTGAAAGAGATTTGTGTGTGAGGGGTGGTTTTTGAGACAGGGCTCCTCCGTGTAACAGCCTTGGCTGTCCAACCCTTGTAGACCAGGGTGACCTCACCTGCCAATTTCAAGATTTTTAGTTAGGCATTTGTGTGTTTCTGTGGATGTGAGTGCAGGTGCCCAAGGAGACCAGAAGGGGACAGCAGTGAGCTGCTTTACCTCGGTGCTGGGAACTGAACTCTGGTCATCTGTGAAAAGTCCTTTTCTGTTTGTTTTTTGTTGGTGTTTGTTTTTCGAGAGAGGGTTTCTTTATGTAGCCCTAGCCATCCTGGAACTCGCTTTTGTAGACAAGGATGACTCCAAACTCACAGAGATCCACCTGCCTCAGCCTGGGATTAAAGTCCTGGGATTATGGGAGGCAGAGGCTAGCCTAGACTGTTTCAAGAGAAACACTGTCACGCAAAAACAAACAAAAAAGTGCTGAGATTAAAGGCGCGTGCACCACTACGCCTAGTTCTTTTTTTTTTCAGTTCAGTGTGTGTGTGTGTGTGTGTGTGTGTGTGTGTGTGTGTGTGTGTGTGTGTGTGTTTTCCCAGGGAAGCCAGAGTTGTCAGAGAGGGAGTTACAGACTTTTTATGCCAATAGAGGTGTTGCTGGGACCCGAACTCAGGTCCCCTGTAAAAGAGGTCAGTGCAGCCCCTCACTCATCTTCTCCCGCTTCCCCCTACATGCTCCTTTTAGAACCGCGCTCCCCGCTCCACCCTCACACTCCCCACCTAGACAGAGGTTCTGTGACGTTTGCCTCACGTCACAGCCCGCCGTGCGTGCGAACTTCCCGGAGCAGAGCAGGCGTTCCTAGCTCTCAGAGCAGAGGGCCACCCCGTCGAGCGCGAGCGCGAGCGCAAGGTACAGGTGCGGACTCTCAGCGGAGGATGGGTGACTGGAAGGGCTATATCAGTGCTGTGCTGCGGGACCAGCGCATCGACGATGTGGCCATCGTGGGCCACTCGGACAATCGCTGCGTGTGGGCATCGCGGCCCGGGGGTCTGCTGGCGGCCATCTCCCCGCAGGAGGTGGGTGTGCTCACCGGGCCGGACCGGCACACCTTTCTGCAGACCGGTCTGAGCGTGGCAGGTCGCCGCTGCTGCGTTATCCGCGACTACCTGCTGGCCGAGGGCGACGGAGTACTAGACGCACGCACCAAGGGACTGGACGGGCGAGCGATTTGCGTGGGCCACACGCCGCGGGCTCTCCTGGTGCTCATGGGCAGACGAGGCGTGCATGGAGGCATCCTTAACAAGACAGTGCACGACCTGATTGGCGGGCTGCGGGAGCAGTGCTCCTAGCCGGGCAGTCAGGCCACCCACGGTGGTAGGGGGACCAGAATAAACTGTGAACGGAGCGCGCTGTGGGCTCACCCTCTTTGCGCAAACAAGGAAACTAGTTTATGGGGAGACTCTTGAAGGAAAAAATAATTCTGGTAGGCTTCCAGGCCTCCTGTGCCCTGCCCACTCCTGCTGAGGTAGATGCCTTGGTCTGAGTGCTGTGGTACTTCCCCAGGGCCCTAGAACGTCACAGCTGAGGAAGCACACTTGGGGTAGCAGGCTCTCCGATTTTACCTCAGGAATTCTCCACACATGTAGGCATAGCAACGACGGGAGTCTTTTCCACCCCCTCCCTCCCCAGCACACACCAGTCAACAGCAGTCAAGGTCTGTGGGGTTTCAGAATGGAGGTTAAGTGCCCCTCAGGATGCTGTCAATCACCTCCTGGATACCCGCTCAAATCTTCAGATACTCAAGTTTCTCGTGCAAAATGACAGTGTTTCCAAAAGACCTACCTGCAGCCCCCTGGTGTGTGATCTCCAGGTGACAAACACCTAATAGAATGTAAAAGCCAGCTACTGTGTTCTACAGGTAAGGAATACTTAATTTTTTTAATGCCCTTGTATGATCGGTGCAGATGGAACTTTAACATTTTTCTATCAACGGTTGGCACAGCTGGCAGAGGTAAAGCCCTCGTACACGGAGGGCTAGCTCTATTTCTGCCCGTTCACTTGAAGCAAGAGTTGTGAGTAGCTGACAGGATGTAGCTGGCTAGTCCCAGAACAGCTCTACATCCCCAGGCATCTCCGACCCCATCACACACAGAGGGGGGCCACAGACTCTTCAGAGCCTCCATAGAAACCCTCAGACTTCAGGGAAGAGATGCGGCAGTCATGTGCCCCCCCGACCCCCCCCCGTTAACCGTCACTCTGCCAGCCTCAGCTCCAGGGCAGCGCTTTGTGGACAAGGCAAAGCTCAGATCTGTTTAGGACAGAGGCTGGAGGGAGGAGCCGTTCTCTCTCCGCCCTCTGTGAGTAGGGCAAGGCCTCCATTGCCCACAGCTACCACACAGCCCCGTTTTCCAGTGGCCCCAACAGGCCTCCACTGGTCACTTATTCTGGAGCACCCGTCTCAGGGAGAATGAAACGTGGGGGTTGAAGTTGCATGGCTTTACAAGTCAAGGGATACCAGGGTGTGGAGGTGCCAATTCACCTCAGGGGCGGCTCCCAGTCTGGAGGGATTTGTGGGAGCTGTGATTATGGACTGGGCTCACAAAGGCAGGGCCAGGCAGACGCTAAGCATGCAGGGCTGAAGGCCGTTAGTCCAGTGAGCGTTTGAGGGAGGGTGGCGTTGCAAAAGTATTCCCAAGTAATGAGAGTTTATTCCTTTCTGGTTTTCATCAAGAAGGGTTGGGCAAAGGTTTCATAACTGTGGTGCTGGAACCCTCGGTGAGGACGAGGAAAATGGCATTGGGAACGAAGGTGGCAGAGAGGGGTGAGAATTCAGTCAGCGACCCGGACGCTCCCCTCTGAGCACCAGCAAACAACCACATGGTCACTGATGCAGACACACCTTCCCGCCACAGTAATCGCGTGTGCACAAGGACACAAGCTCGGGTCTCGCTTCGGGTTTGTATCTACAAACAACCAAACTTGGGACCAGACAGCCTGCACCTTGTATGCAGTCTCGTGTGTATACATACAGTATATGTGTAGCTTTGTCCGTGCACAGGCATGGGTTGACACACAATGCATACACACGGGCTATACCTGACTGATGGTCACACCTGACGTGTACGTGTGCATACTGCTCTTAATTGCAAAAGCCCACATCAGTGTGGTCCGAGTGTGGACGGGTACCCAAGGGTGGCACAGCATCGAGAACCTCAGATGATGTGCATTTACACGCACACACACGCGTGCGCAGCACGGGCGCACGCGCGCGCGCGCGCACGCGCACACACAC